TTTTTTTTTTTAGAAAGATTCAGACAAGCGAGATGTAACACTTTATTCAGGGATCTCCCCAGAAATTCAGAGCAGGGTGGAGGAGCGCGCAGCGCGTTGCGGGGGGGGGAGGTCGTGGAGGGGGGGCAGGCTATTGCATTTCGTCTTTTCCAAACTACAAATGGAGGTCATTTCCTGCAACTTCAGTTCTACATTTTCTGTACAACTGCAGATGTATAAGGCAGTAGAAAGGTTCAAGATCTGTACTTAATTATCCTCATGTTCAAAAAAATTACTTATCACCCTTAATTTTTAAAAAAATTGGGCATAGGTTCCCCGGATGACCCCTAACCGGGGGCCAACGGTGCTTCCACAAGTTCAACAAGTGAAAAATACATGATACAAAATGTACATGTATTTACTACCTGGAACTTGGAGCAATTTATTCCAAAGATGTTAACTGACATTGATATATTAAAAAACCTAAACCAAATCCTATTTCTCAAACAAATCTCATATTGACACAGCTGAACAATAAAATGTGATCATGTTTATAAACTCCACTCAAAAACAATTTTTGAGAGACACTCGGGTCACGGTACTAAGCGTGATAATCTCTAATATCTCATCTGATTCTCCCAATATGTAAAGGGTCTTTACAATGACAGCATCCAACCGCACATACATAGAAACAAAAATATTACACAATAAACCAATAAATTCGGAAAATTTCTCAGTAATGTTTGAAAATTAACCTTACTAAAATATAAGTGAATTTTTATTTCAGTTGTAGCCGAAAAAAATATTTTTCATGTGTTTAAAGTATCGTTTTAGCACTGTAATATGTACTTATTACATGTATCTATACATTTGGATGCTATCTTGACCTTTGACCATTGTTATTGTGAAAACAGGTCGGCCATGTTGTCTTTCTCGCCGTCAATTTTCGAGCCGTTTTTTCGAGCAAATTTCAACCGTTTTAAACATTTTACGGCCTAAAAAACTCATATAACGAGGAAAACAAGTTGTAGTTGCTATTTTCATGAGTAACATTTCTTCTGGGGATGGATTATTTTTCCGTCGAGCTGCCGAAAACTTAGCGCCATGCCGCAACCATGTGGTCGGGCGCGGCCGGCCGGCGGGAGTTTTACTTTGTATCGGTGAGCTTTCGCGATGTAAACAAAGACAGTCGGAGTTGTTTACAGAAAATTTTGTTGTGAAACGCCAGCGGGGTGTCAGATTTTCTACCAATGACAACGTTTTCTTTGCGGCGTCATGGCGAGATCGACAATTCATCGTCAATTCACAGGATTGTGCCAACAATGGAAATTATGAATAGCGGCCCGACCCGTGCAATTAGCGCTCGATCCACGCCGCCCGACCGAAGAAAATTGTAATGACGAGCACATTTATCGGGGATAAAACCCCCAATTTTGAAAACCGACCGCTAGCCGCTCGAAATTTTTGGTCGGCCCAAAAAAGGCTAGGGTCGGGGGGTTTTTCATAGGGTCGGTCGGGTAACCGGAAACACAACATTTTTTTTCCTAGGCCCGACGAAACATTTGACTGAAAACTGGTAGGGCTAACACCAGTTAAAAACAAAAGAAGTAAAGAATGAACTGGAATTGGAAGAGCACATGTTGTCAATGAAAATATGGTGCTCTTCCTATTCTACTATTTCTACGAAATTCTAGTCCCAATTCTCTTGTATTTAATATTATTGGTGGTGAAAGCCAGACACATGAGAAAAATTGACAAGAATTGACACTTGTTTCCTAGAAGGGTACTGTTGGGCATGGCTTTGTAACAGTCTTTGCACTTCTGTTATGTCAACAAAGGGCTATAGGTCATGTGTAAGGAGTCCATTCTTTTGTTGTTGTTCTTGCTCGTTTTCAAGGAAATCGTGATGTGTGTTGTTACATTCACAATGGACAAAAATGTAATGAAAATACACTGTGGTTTTAGGGACTTTTTGCCATTTCATGGGAATGAATAAAAAAGATCTATTTAGAAACATATTCCAAGTAAGAACAGGAGCAGTATCTCCCAGAGGAAAGTGTATAGTGATCTTTGTGTACATAACAAGTTAATTTGAAAAAATTGGATTGACAGGAAAGCTTGTTTGTTTGAAAAGACCAGTCATTGTGACATCTAGCATTGGCTGTGGATTTTGCCACCGTAAGAAGTATGCTTGCCTTAGATGTGTAAGTAAGATCATACTATTCATAGCAGTAATGCTCTGATTTTGTATCAGTTTGTATGCACTTGTACTACTATAAGTCAGGAAATATAATCACATGGACTGCATATATACACGTTGGTCTTCACCTGTGACCTCTTATATGCACAGCTTCAGCTGTGAACAAGCTTATTTTACAGTATTCCTGAAGAATGTTGGTTGATTTTTGTTGCATTGTACATTAATTGATTTTCATCTTTGGTCTGTTTCCACACAGATTACATGAGGAAATACTGGACTTTTACAAGTACATGTCCCCTAGGATGGAAGAGTTCGCCATGAGGAATGAAGTTGTTCAGAGGATAACCAATATCATTAGAAGTATTTGGCCAAGAGCGAAGGTAAGTTTATGATAATATTTCCCTCATGTAATATCTACTAGTATGTTATAAGCCACGTACATGTAATATATGTATAATTTACTCCTCTTTTTATTGTATAAGTTAAAGATTTAGATTGTAATGTTTTATGTGTCCCCAAGAAAACCAGCCACTTCTTGTACCACTTTGATATTATACAATGTACTAGTAGTAGCATTCCTACAGCTGGTTGTCTAAGGCAAGGTCATTTACTATGAGGAAAGACTGAGGAGTAGGGAAAATTATACATTGGTTACATGTAAAAGATATAGAAGATTTCTACTTTTTTCTTTGCTACTGAAGGAAATTAATTACTTACACACATGAACATCATTTGTAGATTGTAGAATGAAGTGAAGGTACTAGGTGGTCTAATCTGGTCAAACCAAATATAGTCCCACATGGGTTACTCGAGGTCATTTGTAGTGACCTCAATATGAAACACCACATGTATGTACATGTGACCCATGGAGTACTGAAAATTGTGAAATTTTAGGTCTCCCGTGACCTCTCATTTGTGTGTTATGTATTCCCATGGTATTACATTGTGTTAGAAAATCTACTACAGTTGTTTCAATGATTCCACCCTTTGTTTTCACTGTGCCAAGAAATTTGAATATCACAAAGTTTAGATAACTGTACAGTATGTCCCCATGTGTCCTAGTGTGCTGGTCTCATTCTGTCCATCACACACTACTGTAAGGTCATTTATTTTTGTACAGAATCTAATTTTGCACTGGGACTAATAGGAGTTGAAGATGAGGTTTTGTGACATTGATATCATTTGCAGTCAAGCAATACTGTAGCACAGAAATGCAGAGAGGCACAGTGAAAGCCCTGCAAGTAAAACCGAAAGTAAAACGGACGTGAATACGTCAAGATTGGCAGTATAATGAACACCACATGAACTCTGTGCTATTTTTAGCTGGAACCTGAGCTGCAGAAATGTCTGTGGCTCATCAAACTAATGTAAAACCTCTGTCCAAGGATGTGTGTGGCTTATCCTGAGGAACAACTTCTGACAAGTGTGACCGAAAATTAGCTGTGTTGAAGTGCTGGGTATTGGATCATAAAATTATAACAGTAGAGCACTTTCATTTCTATGTTCATGTTATATTTTATGTCATCTTTATGTTTACAATAAAATTACATTTGTATTATGTTTTATGAGCAGCGGATTCATATAAGCACAAGTGCTTCCTATCTAATGCTCAAAAATCCATGTGAATACTAGAAAGGCCAATATTTGCTTTGGAGCAAATACAGCGATGGCTTCACCACATTTTACGACATGGCAGGGAAAGAATGAGAAACACAAGGGAAAACAATGCTTTACATTGATATAACTATAATATGAAGTAACATACAACTAAGACTACAACAGTTGGCTAGCTATTCCCTACATTATTGGTTAGGATTTTTAATTGCATAATGCAAACTGTTGATTAAAAAAAAAACGTTCATGCCCCGCATTCCAATGCTGGAGCAGGAAAGCT